GGTATGATAAAAATTTTAGGCCACCAAAGTTAAACTCAGCATCAGAGAGACATGACTGTAGTTGTTGTAAGAGGGAATAAAAGACCACAGATTTGTCACCTTCATATCTACAGCACCAGGAAGGAGTAACAGTTTAAGGATACAAATATTTAACGCCATCGTGAGCTATATATCTGTTTACCCTGCCTGAAATATCAGCCGTTTCATCCACCCACAAAAGCCTAGGAACTTTAACTAGAAGAAGAAAAACAAGGCTATTTTGCTATTCTGAAGCCAGTAAGACTCTGCTAGTAATGGGTGATAAAAGACTTTTACTTTTCCTCTGTTTCCAAACGCTTGCTTTAAACTACTTATTTTTGGGAGTTTGGGGTTACTAAACTAAATACTGCAAATGGAGAGGCTGCAGCCTATGCAGAATAAATGATTTAAGAACTGGGTTCGGCTGATTTATTTTTTCCTTCGTATTGGAGATAAAAAGAAGGAACACATTCTAGTAATCCCTACTCATTTTCACAGCCATTCTTGCACCTGTAACTCAAATAATGAAGCCATTTGTTATTTATATTGCACTTTCCCCTCCATTCTAGATTTCTAACGATCTGACCCTGCTTTATGGCCCTGACAAAGCCTGAAACCGGTGTGGACTTCCAATAATTGAACGATATAAGGAAAAATCTTTAACTGGAATGAAGCAGATGTTAGCTTCATGCAATTCCCTAACTTGATTATTCTTTGGACACGTTAGACGAGCATTAGTGATTGATAATGATGCTAATTAACCCCTTTCCTTTCCAAAACAGTAAACCAATGCCAGCAGGATTCTGCAAACAACACACACGAAGTGTACACCAGTATCTGTTCAAAGTGGATCAGGGACACAACTTCATTGCCTGGTGCTGGACAAAAACCTTACCCTGCTGACACCAGGACAAAATCGAAGGCACCATTTATTTTTTTGTAGTCCCAACCTTTCACGTTTGATTATGGAGCCAGTTTAAATCACTGTGCCCTCACTAGCTGGGATGGACTTCCCGCTGCTCCCCGTCAGAAGGGCGCTCGTTATTTTAGCTACAGGTTCCTAACATGAGGGCTGAGGCTCTGGGAATCTGGGCTGGGCTGAGACATGCACGTACCAAGGAGGGAAAGGGAAGTGCACATTCTGGAATTTAAATGGGAGGTAGAAGTCGAGTAAACAAACAAGGAGCTGATCTGATTATGCAGTCGAATTTATCATGGACAATAAAGAAATTGCCTTTAAATGTAAGGGTTTGGATAAATGAATACTCCTAGCAAGTGAATAAAATGTATTCAATTAACTAAAAACCTTGTGCACTTCTGAACTGAAGTGGAATCGACTGTAATTGATTTATTTGAAACCAGAGGTTAAGGACTGAATTAGCTAAGTACAACTGGGTATTTCAAGCCACTGACTTCTCAAATGTCAAATCTCTTCTATTTTAAATATTATTTCAGCTGCGGGGCATTGCTGTCCTGATGGCTGCTCCACCAGTTAAATCTCAAATTATATTAATATTTGATTTTTGGAGGGTGGGGTAAAATACGGTACAAAGAGGAGGGCTGTCCTTGTTCACGGTGAAAGAGCACCAAGCTGTATTTTGGTTCACATGCAGGAATCAGCTCAGCGTGGCAGCAACGCTCTAACGTTCAGCCACCACTCACCCTCGCTTCAACCAATCTGGGGAAGGGGAAAAAAATAACAACAGATTTTTGTTTAGTGTATAAAAGCCTGACCTAGAATTTCACTACTGCACCTCGATCACAAGGCAAAAAATGCTTCCAAAGAAGGCTGGAGTAATTAGCACGTTTTAGTAACTGCACGTTGGTCACAGCAGAAGAGGCTGAACCGAACCCAGTCTGATTTCCATTATCGCCTGTAAAACCCTTCCTTAGAAATAATAGTAATAAAGAAATCTATGCAAGGTCATTTCATTTCTCTTTTTTGGTGGCTTGCTAATCCAGCAGCAGGATACCTAAAATGTGCTCTCCTACCATGAAGTAGCTAATTATATCTTTAAAACATTATTTATTATGACCTTATAATGTTCTAGCATAAGACTGCATTATACATTGACCAGTATAAAACGATTATATTGGGTACAGGTTTCAAAAAGTAACAAGCATCTGTAAATCCAGATATGAATGAATGGTATTTAATAAGATTGTTTTCGTTTAAAAATGAGTATTTATGTGTCGCTGTAGAAAGAGCAGCAATGTATTGCTGTTTATGAATGCTATTGTGCCTGAGGTTAGGATCCCACACACAATCTGAGATGCAGCCAAGAAAAACAGCCCTGATAGACAATGCTTCACTTCACCTGCTACAATACTGTGCATTTCATTTATGTCAAGAATATGTACAGTTAGGGTTCATTCACCTCATTATTTTGTTACATCTACTTTACGGTTAACCAGTCTCTCTTGGAAATAATAAATAACTGTTTTTAAAACAATTGCAGCTTTGCATTCAAAAGATCCACTTTCAATTTGCAGAAAAAAAATATTCACCATTTTTATAAACTAGCTGGCTCTCGAAAATAGAATTTAGACTCCACCAACTCTCCTTCTGCTTGGCAAGATTGATTTTACACTGCCTTCCATAAGTAGATTACCAAAGCAAAATGAAACATCTTGGGCTTTATCTAATGCTTTGCTTCACCAGCTCTACCAAACGTCAAAATATATGAGTAAATGTTAATTCTCTGTGCAGCTTCATTGTAAACACCTCCCTCCTAACCTCCTCAATTTCTGCCTGAGCAAAAAGGGGAAAAAAGGGAGAGAAAGAGTCAGGGAGGGAAGAGAGAAAAATCAGCCTCCACTACCAAAATACCATCAGCACTTAAAGGAGACCCTCTCTTTAAAATGCCTTTACATTCTAAACTGCATTAAGTCTCCCTTCCTATGATATAACATAATCCAGCCTGATCCTGACTTCACCTACCCCCGGGGCCAAAGAAAATAGATTCAAAATCTGAATTCTCACATGTTTTTATAGCCCATCTTCAAGACATACACTCAATTTTTTTAAAGCGAACTTCCCTGTTTCACAACTGGTTTCCACAAGAAGAAACTCAAGATAAAAATTTCAGTCCCTTATAAACTGACACAGCCATCTCAAAATGTCAGTCTGTGCATTCCACTAAAACACGAACCATCAATCAGAAATAATCTGTCTCCTGCAAGATTTCAGTAAAGTTCACAACCGTGAGATGATTTTGTTGGCATCAACTACGGAGCTTTTCTTTTTTCTTGAGGGGGAGGGAGCACCCAGCTCTGATTTATCAGTATAAATTTTTTTCATAGCATTAATTTTCAGTGTTTTCTCGGTAATGATTCTTTTTTTAAATGTCCTTCTTGAAATGTGTTTTTTAATCTCTGCTCTCGGTTAGGACAGCTACATGTACAACATTTTATAGGCTTATAATTCTGTGTGCTGTATATATAAACATAAATAAAAACCTAGAGGTCAACATAAATAAAATAAAACTTTTATTTTTTAAATAAAATTATGTTTTGGTTAAAGAAAAGATAGTGTGTCATTTTTGTTAGTAGTACAGACAATTTTTTATCCAAAAGAATACATTGTGCTTTATTGTGTCATTTGTCTGAATACAGACTCAGTGGAATATCTAAATGATACCCTGCTCTGAACTCCAAGTTGAAAGTAAGTTTTTATTATACTTGAGGGAAACAATGGGTTCAGCTGCTTATTGCAAGGAGCAATTGTCAAGGGAGAGTTAAACTCAATTACTGTAACCATACTGAATAAAAAATACTGCCAAGAACAAAAATACGCCTGGGTAAAGACAGCTACTGAATAAAAAAATCGACATAAAGCGTATCAAATATTTATTTATCTGGGCAACAAAGGACTATGATACATTGATAGGCATGGAAACTACTGCCGGCACAACTCAATACAATACAACTATAACTGCTTCCAATATGGCCAGTGGAAATACAGGATACCAGGTGGTCCCGAATGTTTGAAGTTCTTTGGGAAAAAAAAAAAAATAAAAAAAAAAAGAGAGAGAAAAATAAAAACAAAAGAAAGGGAAAAAGAAAAAAAAAAAGAGGGGAAAAAAAAAGGAAAGTAAAGCTGAATATTGTTTTAAAAGACAATATTAATTTATTGCTCTGTTGGTGCTTTTGGGAGAAGGACAGTGGATGAAAATAACTTTTTTTTATTTTCCACAACACATAAGGGTTGTAAAACCACTAACATGTTTAAAAACCTTGCCAGGGTCCAACATCACTTTATTTTATCTTCAATGAGAAACTAAATGTCATACTAATTATATATAAAAATTAATGGTTTTTTATTTGTTCAGCTGCTTCATTGTCGCTTTTAACATGCTACAACAGGGCTAAAAATGATGAATCCCAGAGAAAAACCCCCAAAAAACCTCTGATATCTAAATAAGTACCATGAACCACATGATGAACTAAGAGGGGAAGATTTAAAACCCACTAAACAAGAGGTAAACGAGATCACCAGATAAATAAAAAAAGGCTTAAAACAGACTCACCATATTTACAATTCCCATTAAATTACACATAAATAAATATATACATACATGAACACTGATTCCCTTATATAATAACCGTGAATCGTGTTGCAATAGAAAGTTCAAGTTGGTCGCTTTACCTTGGACAGGAAAAAGTTCTACAACTGAAGATATGACATGGAACCGCTTGTGTTTTGTGTTCAAGTTTATTCACAATACTGATAAAATGTCATCAGTCCTTTTTGCCTTTTCTATGTCTGCTGCTGCTGCTGTTGTACTTTTTCACTTTTTTAATTCATTTTTAGTATGGCTACAATCTTAACTGAAGTTTATGTAAGGGAAGGTGGTGATTCAGTCCGGTGAAGCTCATAGAATTTTTAAGTATTATTTAATTCTTTTTGTTTGGTTTTTTTTTTATTTTTTTAATATATTTTTAGAAAAAAAAGTCCTTTTCTTTTTTGCTTTATTTTTTTTGTTGTTTTTTTTTCTCCTTTTGTTTTATTTAAAAAAAAGTTCACAAACTCAAGACAGAACTTTTTTTCTTTGCTGGCTCCGTCCCCCTGTTCTGTTCTCTTAGGCTCCAAACTGGGGTAAAACGATGATGGCAGTGGGAAGAAGGGGGAATTTAAGTGGGAGCAAATGGAAATGTGGATGCTGGGAAGAGGTGTGGGGAGAGGGTAGAGCAGTCCTGCAGAGTCAGAAAACAGGACTGGCAGAAGGACGCTCATTCTGTTGCTGTAGCCTGGGGTGCTGGGTCCCGGGGAGAGGGAGGAGGGAGATGAATGGATCGATGGGCTATGAGGGGGAAGGGAGTGGAGTGGGGTAGGGGGGGGCATCCTCACTTTCGGTGCTTCTCCTCTTTGTCGCCGCTTTTGGTGCTGTTGTCTGTGTGGCTGTTGGGGTTGTTGCTGAGGTACATTTTGTCCATGGCCTTGAGCGCCTCGGTGAGATAGTTCTGCAGGGCGGTGACGGCAGCACACACCGCCGGGCTCCCAAAGCCGTGTGAGATGAGGTTGAAGTGGGTCAGGCAGCTCTGGATGCCCGGCTCCAAAATGGGGTTGGGCCGCGAGTTCCCCAGGGGAGATCGGTCCTGAGCCAGCAGGTCGGTGAACTCTTTACAGATCTGTCTGTAGCACAAATGGAGCAGAGAGACAGAGGGAGGGAGGGAGGGAGGGAGGGAAGGGAAAAGAGAGGGAGAGAAATGAACCATCACTGGCGGCAGCAAAGCCCGTGCATTCTCCCTGCTAGATTTCACAAGCCCCTGGATCAAGGGGGTTTCTGCTCCTGAGTGCACACACTCTCTCCCTTGTCCTTCTCCTCTCTATGCATCCTTCCCCCTAATTCTCACACCTCCCTGGCACTCACAAACCTCCTCCTTTCACCTCGCATGCACACACACCAGCACGCCTCACATCACACCCCAGCCCCATCCAACACACAGGCAGACAACAGGAACACAGAGACACATGCCTCTTGCCCCACCGCTCTCCATTATGTCAGCCCCCAACACTCTCCATAAAAACACATCCCTGCCTGGCTGGGGTTTGGAGCACCAACACAGTTTAAAGTTCCAGAGCAGGCTTAATAGACAGGCTGTGATATCCAAAGGTAGGCTAAGAGGTTTGTCCATATCTCAGAAGATTCCATGTCTGGGTGGGAATGAGAGAGAGATATGGGCCTCTTCCTTCACAAAGCTAAAACACACACCTGTGTGTTAGGAAGAATGAGTGAGGGCAGAGCGGGCAATTGAGGATTTAAATTAGGGTATTCTGAAACATTTATATATGTAAATCTCCATCTCCAAATCCAAAGGGACCTTTCCACAGAGGGGGAGGCTGACGCTAACCAGGGCCTGGAAATTTCCTTCCGGGGAGGTAAGAAGGGAGGATACGAGGGCATGGTGCAGAAGATAGGTTATATCACCCGCTCACTGCACAAATGGTTGGAGAAATAACACACCTTACAGCAAGAGAGCTCAGAGGCGTGTTGAAACAGTTTGTGTTCTAAAACCCACATTAATGTCTTCCAGCCATAAAGCAACTCCCATCTCCTGCTTGTGTCCTCTGGCATTGTGCCCTTTGGTGACACCTCCACTGGTAATTAAGGGCTACTAAACAACCCTTTTAATTTCCAGCAAACATACCAAAACAATCATTTTCTTTTCACGCGCCACCTGGAAGTCTAGGCAGCCCCACCAACGATAAACTCCGCTAGCATTTTAACTGCACACAGATTGTCATTTAAAATATATTTTTAATATCCCTGTATTTGCTAAGTAACAGAGATGCTTAGGCAGGAAGAACCATTGCAGATTTTAATGAACTGAAATCAGTTTAATGCGCCAGGTTTATTTTACTGACAATGGGAAGCCCTCCCCTTCTACTTAAATTGATGAGCTAAGTGAATAGGCCCAGAAAACATTCTGCTTTGAAGAATTACTGCTTTTTCTGTAACTAAACATCCACCCTCAATTCGCACAATTCGCATTCAAGATAATCTGCGCAAACTGATTCGAAGGAAAACAAGCTGGTCTGTAGAGTTCTCCTATATCAGGAGGATCAACACACACCCCCACAACTTACAAAGCCATCAGCCACTGGTTATGCAGCAAACAAATGTCTTCACAACTAAAAGTCCCGAACTCAAGTTTGTCCCCCATCCCTTATTTCTAAGCAACATGCCAGAAAGTTAAATGTCTTACTTTGTTGCTAGAAGCATGTTTTTTCTTGTGACTTGCTCGTTTGGATCGGAATGTTGTCGGTTGAGAAATTCAGCTACTGCTTTGGCAGGAAATTCTGTCTCACAAACGTACCCAAAATCTCTAGCTAGATGTACTGCTTCTCCTGAATAGGGAGGCACGGGTGGGGATGGAAAGAAACACAGCTCATCAGTATACATCGCACAGAGGCAAAAATCCATTTGAAAAAAAACCTCCAAAAACCCACTACATTCTACTTGGGCTTTTCTTCTCAAAAGCCTGGACATTTTCTCTTTGAAAAAGTTAGGGCCAGAAATGCTAATTGCATCTCATCTTGCAGTTTTCTTTGCTTCAGCTGAAGGTAATGCAAATGCATATTTTCATAACAATCATTACGAGTGAAATCTCACATAAGAATTTTCAAAAGTTCACATTAACTAAGAGATACTTTTAGACAGACAGGCTCCCTCCACCCAGAATGTGCGCTTCGATTCACATCTCCATACCTATAGAGAGTCATTTATGTACATTTTATTCACAGCTATTTACTCTGAAAATGTGTTTGCCTCAGCCGCATCTCTATATTCTTTTGCAATGCATCAATGATTAATATTGATCATAATTACTCCTAGAGCTCTTCTAAATAAAATGCATTAAACAGCTAAGTGTTTAAAATTTAACTTGATCGCATATAATTATATGTTCACCCCCAAACGATTAACCATGAGAATTTTAGGGTCATTCCACCGAGTCTGTCTGTTTTGTTGATTTTCGAATCTTTGGTTTTAATTTCCTGAACCAGTTGGTTTTTACTGCAGGGCTTCCTGCCATTAGCTCTAGCTCCGGAAGAACGCATGCGCCAATTAGGGCTTCAAAGCCTCAGTCCAGTGAGCTTGTTTCCATAAAATGGAGCGGATCATAAACAATAACAGTACTCCAGAAACTGCCTCATCGCTACGGGACTCAAAGCCCCAGCAATGTTTATACTATCATCTCCCCAAAATTAGCCACCATCACTAAGTTATCTGAAGATCAGGCCTCTGGTTTTGTTTTTCTTCAAAAAAAATCATTCTTTTCAAAGCCATTGTACGTGAAAGCCAAACAGAACAATGGATTACCATAAAACCTTCTCCATATTCATTAACATCACAAATAATGTTAAGCATCTACCAAATCTAGACTTTTTACAAGTTTTCCCCTCGTGATTTTTTTACCACCACAGCGTGTCAATGCAATTGCAAAGCCTTTTCAGAAACATGAAGACGCGGTAATTTTCACGCAGTATAAAAATAGTTTGTTCACTAATCCTGATGTTTAAAAAAATGACGCCTGGCATCATCACACAGCGCTTTCTTCCCCGTCTCTTTGAACATGAAACATTTCTCGCAGAATGCAAAGCGACAACAAAACAAATTCCCACCTACACAACCAAACTTAAACTGGACCTGGACAGCTCGGGCTGAGTTTAAAAGCACTTTATAAACTGAACCAGTCTAAAATGCAGCCAAACTCATAGGAAAAGGCAGGCCTCGAGCATACTTGATGTCAGCCAGTGTGACACAGCCACCGCTTCAAAACTAAATGACTGCAAACTCTTGAGCTTCCCACCTCCCTGCACAGACACAATAAGAATAGGACATCCCAAGGCTCTAAAATCAAGTTGCACCTTTTCCAGCCAAAGCAAAGCAGAGGAGAATGATAAAGCCAAGGGAACATGTGTTCTGAAAATGAGAACCAAAAGGGAGTGGGGGCTGGCAGTAGTGCAACTTTGAGGCTTTCAGGACACCATTAATTCATGGCTGAGGTCAAGGATTCCCAAATTAATTCAGGAAGTAATGGTCACGCATTTCTCAAATGCAGATGTCAGAAAAGTTAAATGATTTACTGTTGTGTGGCTGCAGGCTGGGAGGGAGAACAAACTTAAAGTAGCTGCAGTTTCTGACATTTAAAATTGCTTGGTTGTCCACCTGTGGCAGAAGAACAGCAGTGAAGTATTAGAGGCTCTGCTGCCCGTAACTTCCAACTCAATACTCATGGGTCTCTTATGGGGCTAAGCCCACCGTCCCCCTTCACAGGGATCCTTCCCATGCTGCTCCCAAAGAGATCTGCTTACTCCACAGAGGGATTACTCATTTGAACGAGCGAGCAAGATGGGGCCCTGAAAACATCTAGCTCAGAAACTTAAAAGCAAATAAATAATAGAACGCTTTGCTGAGTCTGCAGGACTCGCACAAACCCGTTTCAAGTTGTAACAAAAAGCAAAGGAACACAATTAACCTGATCTTTTTTTTAAGGCATAGAAAATAACGCCCTTTTCAAATGCCAGTGAGCAGCACTGACTCCGGGAAAGGAGACAGAAAACCCGAACAACCAAACAGCAAGTCTTCTCCCATTTGGCAAAAGCAACAGGCACATTTTCCAAACAAGCCCTCCCAGCTCTTTGAGTCACTTACCCTCCACGAGTGATGTGAGCAAGGTAACGTTAGCAGCTTTACGCCTCCCGGCTGGCAGGTTTAATCCTATTTTGTCCAGTTTCTCCCTCAGAGATCTCCCTCCGTTTTTAGACTTTGCCCTGCTCCACACAGAAAGGTATTAAGAAACAGGGCTTGGGGGAACACCTCCTCCTGCTTTGGCTCCCACCCACACATGCCCCCAACACATCCTTTCCCAGGGAAGGGAATAAAGGCTTTAGGCACAAGGGATGGGATACGTGGCTGTGAGAGGCTCAAGACCAACTGTTGCTGAAAGCTGAATCCCAGATACAGGGACGGTGCTTTGGATGTTCCCACATCTAGAGAACATTGGCCCTCACTAAGGTCTAGGTCAGCCCCAAAGCTGACGCGGAGCTCTGAGGTGCCTCCCTGAGCTCCCAAGGTGTCACGGACACGGGGACAGCTTCTCCCCAGGCATGACGGGAGGAGGCCGATTTGCAGGGCCCGCAGCCCCAGAGCATCACCGCCCTCACACCAAACTCTAGGTGGCCCATCTGTGGCTTATCAGGACAGCTGGGCTAAACGGGGCTGCAGAGATGGGAGCTGCCTTAATTAATCCAGGATCTTATTCCCTGCCCAGGCACTGCCTAATTGCCTGGGTGAGGCCACGGTGTGGGAGCCCAGGGCAGAGCGCCTGCCACACTAGGCCGGTCCTGCGTGGCGTGGTGTGTGTGTGTGTGTNGGGGACACGGACCCCGAGGGGACACGGACCCCGAGGGGACACGGACCCCAAGGGGACACGGACCCCGAGGGGACACGGACCCCGAGGGGACACGCACCCCGAGGGGGACACGCACCCCGGGGGGGACACGCACCCCGAGGGGACACGCATCCCGAGGGGACACGCATCCCGAGGGGACACGCACCCCGGGGGGGACACGCACCCCGAGGGGACACGCACCCCGGGGGGACACGCACCCCGAGGGGGACACGCACCCCGAGGGGGACACGCACCCCGGGGGGACACGCACCCCGAGGGGGACACGCACCCCGTTCCCCCACTATTGTCCCCTCGCAGGTCCCGCGGTCGCGGCTACAGCTGGGGTTCGCGCGGCGGAGTCACGACGTGATTAGAAAGTCAAATGAAATCATGTTTTCTAATTCCAAAAACTGACAGGCAATATAATGTCTGGCTGTGTTTACAAATTAACACCAGTGCTGCTGAGATAGAAGATTTCGCAATCGTTACAAAACCCAGGCATTACCATTTAAAAAACTATTACTTCCTTCTCTAGTCTTTGTCCAACAATAATACTGATTCTAACATTTTCCATTCTGTCTTGGATTTATGCTCCTGTTAATTGTGCCTGATCTCAATGATTCCGGGTGGATGGTACTAAGTTGCTTTATTACAGGTTTTATTATACTCAATGCTCTCATTTGTAACTTGCCTAAAGTGCTTCTGGATTTAAGTATAATTAAATTGAGAAATGTTCAGAAATGACTACTGCTGCAGTTCTTGTGTTTTAACTATATGGGGAAATATGATCCCTTTATGCATGCACCCTAAACCCATAAAGTAAATGTAGTGTGGCATAATACTTTTATTTGTGTTATTTCTACACGTATTCCGTACAGGGAGGACTGTTAAGTTTAAAATCCCACAGAGATATTTATGATTAAATAATTTTCACCGTCTACTTGACTTTCTTAAATATTTAGCCGTCATTTTTATTAAAGGTTAACTGTTGCAACAACGGAAAAATTCAAAAATTACCCTTCTAACTCACATTTCTGGAAAGGATTTTTTTTTTTTTACTAGATAAAATACACCTCAAAGATGCACCCTCTTATTTTATACTCTCCTTCATGAAGCCTGCTGATTCAGTCTTACAGAGGAGAAAAAAAAAAAAAAATGGCTAGGCTGGTTCAAGGATTTAAACCAGATGGCATTTGGTTTTCACAAAGTATAGCAATGCTATTAATTCATAGATCTGCAGAGGAGGCTTCCCGAATCAGCCCACTGCCATGGAGCACAACACTGAGGAGAGGGAGAATTCAAGAGAACATTTTAGGTCATGTTCTTCCTACAGCAACCAGGGGCTTGCAGTCAACAAATTAGTTTATTCTTGCGATTGCCTCCATGTTATTTTATATCAAGTTTAAAGAGTCGACCTGCTTTTAACAGATCCAAATTGCTTACTAAATCCTCCACTTTGGAAAACGTATGCGTTTATTGCAAAACTGCTAAACACAACCAGCAATTTTCTGTGGCTAATTTAGCCAGATGAGGGCTGTAATAAATTCACTATTTTCTCCGAGTATAATTTACAAAAGATTTCAAAATGACCCCCAAAAATAGGTAAGTTCATCTGAACATTATCCTTGCAACACGAAACTGTACTCATTAAACTGTCAGCGAATATATTGTTGTAATATTTGATCCTGTAATTTGGGATGGCATTTCGGCAAAAATCACATCCAGATACCACAGTTCCCTCCTCCTCTTTCCTCCTGCAAGTCGAGCAGCTTCAGTCCCTCAGCATGAGCTCTGTGGGCTTTAATAAATTTATTGCCATGTTCTAATTCCATTTTCGGGGAGAAACCCAGAAAGATGAACTTTGATCGTAACCTATCACGTTGTATAAGGCCACTTTCCTAACTGAACAATAGCCCTGGCTTGCTTTGTAAGTATCCTGTGCACTAATGTCATGCTTAATTAGAAATCATTTTTAAAGTCTGTACTCATCGATAACAGAATTAGGTCCCCCAAATAATGCATCCTCCAATAGGATCCCAACATTTAATTTAATATAGGGTGTAGCAGATCTGACTCAAATTCGATAACCTATAGGTAATGATTTATGAGGTCATCCCTTTGCACCGCTACTAAGAGAAGGCAGCAGCATTTTAGTATACCTCTTTCCTGATTTGTCAATTAATTCCTTCAGAGAAGAGGATCTGCCCATACCCTCTCGTAACTTTGGACGTGGTTATCCCATACGCCAATCCTGTAATCATGGGAAACCAATTTTTCCTTCTTAGGCCACTTTCACCCACTTTCCCCCCACCCCCCCCTTTGCATTTGTGAGATCTCGTTAAATGTCCTCACAGGCATTTCAGACTCGTGTCTTTCCCAAGGCAGTAAGAAATCCCCAAATGCACGGCCCTCTGGTGATATTATATATTCTTCCAATCCTAACAGCTTATTGTCATTGAGAAGGAAAGATATTGTTAACGATGACGATAATTTGATTTATTTATATTTTAGTGGACAAGTTAGCGGGGAGGCGTCGCGCAGGGACGAGCTGCGAGAACCTTTTGTTCTAGGTGGGGGGCTTCACTTTTCCCTTGAGGGGGCAGGAGGGAGTTCTCTTCCTCCCTTCCTCCTATTTTTATTTTTTTTGGGGGGGTGGTGGGTGGTGTTCCCCTTCCTCCCTCCCTCTCCCCCCGACGTTGGGCTCCCGCGGTAAGGGGGACGAGCGGGCCCCGGGGCGGCCCCTTGGCTTACCGGCACGTCCTCGATGGCGTGGGGGATGGAGTGGAGGGGCAGGTCGGCCAGCCCCGAGCCCAGCCCGTGCGGGGCGTGCAGCAGGTCGTCGTGCCGCCGGTAGTCCCTGCGTGGGTCGAGCCCCGAGAGCTGGTGGGGCAAAGCCCGGTGCGTGTGGAGCAGCCCCGTCTCCTGGCTCTGCCTCTGTCCCGGCC